GAACTGATCACTGTGATCGCAGAGCCATGACAGTCACAGAGCCGGCAGCAGCTCACTGTGTTTTGTAGACTGCAAGCTGGCTGTGTGTTACAAAAGTGATACAAAGTATCTCTGAGGAGAATACTGTACTCTGAGGAGAATACTAAGTATCAAAGCCCCTGCAAATAAAAAAAATAACCCCTTAGTGCCCCCTAGTTTTAAAAAAATAAACAAAAATAAGGTTTCTAAAAAAAAAAAATTAAAAGCTTAAAGAAAGTAGAAAAAATGTTTAAAAAATATGTTTACTATTATATGAAAATATAGTGCCGAGAAAGCAATTCAAGATAGGATACAAATTTACTACATTCTAAAATAGTTCCACACTAAAATTGTATTTCACTCCTTGTATTTTGTGACCTATAACTTCCAAAATAAATTGAAATTCCAGACACAGATATACCTTATAAATCAGGACAAAAACAATAATTTATTATGAATGACTTTCTGTAAGCTACACTAATTATGTACACATTCTTTTTGCCAAAGCTGTGAAAAATGTGGGTTGTTTTTTTTTTTTATTTGTTTTGCATTTTGTTGTGTTTTTTATAAAAAAGAATTTATATATGCATATGTCACATCAAATTAAAGCCCATTTTGTCCTTTAACAAACGGTATATAATATGTGTAGGTGTAATGCATGAGGAAGATGGAAACTATGGCAAAATTGCTTCGGTCCCCAGGAACAAATAGGTTAATGCACCTTCCCTCAGTCTGTCCCCAGTTTGTCTCTCCACTTTCACTTTAAAATTGTTGAGACTAGCCTGCAGTCTGCCCAAAGGCCCACTCCAAAGAAAAAACTAGAAAGGTTAGAAATATAAAAAAATATATATTTTCAGGTATGCTGTGTGAATGGGAACACATAACAAACAAATAGTGGTGGATTCTCAAATGTGACTGCAAAAGTGGAAATACACTTTAAAGTGCAACTTAGACAATATTCAATTTGTAGGAAGAAGCGCCTGGGCTACTCAGGTAAGTTTTTGGATTTTAGCTTTAAAACAAGCTGTCACTGACTTCTGTAGTTACAGAAACAGTTAAGCAATTTATCCACAAAATTCACAGCATAAATACCTGCGCTATTCTGCTCTTTCTGCTTCCCCTCCCTGCAGTGGCTTGGCAGCTTACCAGCCTTCCTTCTAATACCTAATATAAACACAGAGCAAGAGCTGTGGGAGGGAGGAGTGCAAAGAGCCAAGACCCGAGTGACTCCAATGTTTCTCTTATTAACTTTGAGGATGAATTGCTCCACAGTGTCTGCAGCTACCGAGGTCACTGAGGGCTTGTTTAAATTTTTTTTTTACTGCTTGTTAAGTGTATGCAAATACTTGAATGACCATAGCCTGCCACAGGTACACTTTAAATTATTTATTTTAAAGGTGGAAACCCCTTTAAGCATCAGACAAAAAGTTCAAACAACAAACTACAAACTAAAAAGAAAAATATACAAAACTGGTCATTACACTTAATTTACATTATTTTCACATGCCGCACGATCCTAATCATGTGCCCTGGTGTAATGCTGTAATTTCACATGATAATGATAATGAGGCACTCAGAATGAGTCCTAAGGGTGAGATTATAGAATATTAATGTCTCTGCTGCAGTACTTAAATTGCCTCAACCCTCCATGATGGCTGACTTAGTATCAAGGGCTGCGAATGCCTGGAATATTAATAATCATCATTTATTCTGATCTAGTGTTGACAGTGTATGCTCCAGCGCATGTAGAGGAATAACGACAGCCCGATAAATCCGGGGGTGAAGCACTTAGAGTGCAGTTTCTTAAGTTTACCAAAGGAAGTAAGACAAACTGGCTTCTTAACATTTTATGGGGATATGTTAGCTTAATGGTATGATGGTATGGTACATGTAAAAGGTTGCTTCATGCATTTGAAAAAAAAAATAATGGCTTCACCTAGCTCACAATAAACAATGTTCCTTCCACTCCCTTCCTATGAGCTAGGGGGTCAGTGTGAGAGTGGGAAAGCAAGGGGCGTTCCTACCATGAGGAATGCTGGGATGTGACACAGCATAGGGTCGTAATGATATAAAGCTCTCATCCCGCCATCCTAGTCCCAGCTTTATCTTGCTATAAGATTCAACGCACTCCTTCCTATTAGTGTGGAGTGCTGGAGATTACCGGGGACACTGCGGTTTGTGAAGAAACAAGAGTAAGCTGTTTTTAGAAATATGAGAATACAGCAGACTATCCAGCCATCTGACCCAATCATCAGCTAGTTGTATCTTTAAAGTGGAACTCCAAACAAAGCAGTATCTTGTTCAACTTCAGGAAATCTGCCCAAAGTAAGAGGAATTCTCCCCAAAATGCAACACCTACAGTTGTCGCAGGAACAGGTCACCCTCATAGGTGTTACCTAGATTTCCACACCTCGCATAAGGTGCCAACCTCCTAAGATGTGCACATTCTTAAAGTGACACTAAACTCAGAAGTTAAATCTTAAAAATGTATTCAACTACCTTCACTATTAACACAAATGTAGCTTTTCTGTGTATCACTCGGCTGTAGATCCTCAAATTGATGAATTCCTGGTGACACTGTCCTTCCTTCTGGAGGGTGGCTACATTGGTTCCCCATGGTCCCTGTGTGTGTTGTAAAGTAGCCACTGCTCCAAGCGCCCTACCGTGATGGACTACAATCTCACGTTTAGTTTACTAATATGTATTGAGATTGTAGTCCATGACGGGAGTGAGCTTGGAGTGGTGGCTACTTTAAAACACACACAGGGACCATGTAGAACAAAAGTAGCCCCCCTCCAGAAGGAAGGACAATGTCAGCACCAATCCAGAGATGATTTGAGGATCTACAGCTGAGTGATAAACAAATAAGATACCTTTTGGTTAATAGGGTACTTGAATGCATTTTTAAGATGTACAGGACGCCGGGGCTGGGTCCTGGAAGGACGATATATTTCCCCTCTGTTTGGACTGTAGTGCATTTAAGGGATGAGACGGGGTTAACTCACCTGCTGTAGGAAGTGTGTGTTTAAAAGTCAGGAAGTGGTAGCTAGCAGGTGAGTAGTGTGGAGGAGGTTGGAGAGTGGGGATTTGTGTACTGCTGTGAGCTTGAATATCAGTATCCTTGCTGGAAATCTGTAGACTAGGAAAGTTAGGGCTTGTTCACACCAAGCGCGGAGCAGATCAGGTGCAGACCAGATCAAAACTGCGTCCAATGTATTCCTATGGTATTTTGAGCTCCACATCGCAGCGTGCAGATCCAGAGCAGATCCAGAGCAGGTGAAAAAACTGCGGCAAGCCCTATTTTACCTGCTCTGGAACGCATCAAAAACGCATCAAAACACAAAAATGCATCAAAAATGCATGCAAGTGCCTGAAAGCCCATGTTAAAAACACGGCACAACCCACTGCACTGTGTGTGCAGAAACCTGACCGGATCTGCTCTGCATTTGGTGTGAACAAGGCCTTACCCTGGAAGTCTGGGACTGTTTAAACTGCGATTGCAGCTCTGAAATCTTCATGTTGGTGAGACTGGTCTTTTGTGTTGTACTGAAGAGTTGCTGTCTGAGTTTGCCAGCTGGTCAGTGAAGAGATGAACTGTTTTGTTATTTTGCTGCTGTGAAGCTATTTAAGTTAATAAACTTTACTTTATTTGCAAAGCCTGTGTCTAACATCACAACGATTTAACTCGATTTGAGTTTTGTGTCACTTTCAGCCTCTTCCACCCTACTTCTGACTGCAGGCCACCCTGCCCCTGTACATCTCCATTCTATAGTGGCTTCAACCGGGACTTCAGTGACAGACTTACAGTACCACATACATCTCCACGTTCATTTTTAACTCTTAAAATCAAGAGCCGTGTTATTCAATCAGAGCTCCATGGAACCCTAGGGTTCCTCCTGAGGTTGCTTGGGTTTCCTTCAGCAGTAACCAATGACTAATTCTTTTCTCACCTACACTGACCTCTAATGCAAGGAGCAATTTTTCACTTACCACCAATGTAAGGGGTCACTTCTCCCCTGACCACTGATGTTAGACAGACTGCATTTCCTTCATTATTATTATTCATTTATTCTCAACAAATTATTTTGTAGGGAGTGTATTTAAAATAATTGCCATGGATGTCAAATACGTCTATAATGTCACCACACTGATTATCCTTTTATTTAAAGAAAATTTTATTTGAGCTGTAGGCATAATCAATTTTAGCAGGGGTTCCCTGCGACCTGAAAATGATTTCAAGGTTCAGAAATGCTGATCCAGAGAGTCACCCTGCTTTTACCCCTACCACCCTGTCTCCTTGCATGAAGTACATATCCCCAATGAATCTTCTAATTCACCAGAGACCCGACCAACCCTCTTCCCTGACCCACATTGTGTAAGACAGTCCTTAATTTACTAATATGTGCAAAACACAGTAAATGTGCATTTATTTACTTTGGTACTGTTTCTAAAATGTTGACAACATTTACATATGGACATATCATAGTACTACTACTTATTATAAATACTGGATATAATTCTCTGTTTTTGTCTGCAAACACAACATTGCTTTACATCTTTTGTAATCGGTGTGTAATTTTCAATAAGGTTTCTAATTCTGAATGTAAGAACACTGCGTGGTAGCACTTCTCTTGCTGCACGAATAGAGTTGTGGCGATGTATATAACGCTATATACCTGTTACTGAGGTATTTGAACTCTTACTCAGAATCAACTTTCCAAGACTGTTTAACATCCTCATTTTTACTCCCACAAACCATTTAGCCACACCCCACACACCATTTAGCCACACCCATTTTCTGCTACAGCGTTCTTGGCTTCCTTGTTGCCTATAAGCTGTCCTTCCAGGTGTATATCTTTATTCTACAGGAGAATTTGGGCAAAGTTTTATAGGTCTGATCAGCTCTCAATCAATCCAGTAGAAATGTGTAGGGAAATATATACACATATATACTTTAAAACAACATGAAGGGTTTTGCTTACCTGACATCACTTAATTCGTAATAGATATTTCTGCCGTCGTCTTTGATGTAAATGGCTGTGTTGGGGGACTCCAGTACTTTCATTGTAAGCTGCTGAGGGAAGGCACTTACAAACAGGGCACGGATGGTGTCTGCACTAGTGATTTCATTGGGCATCTGAAGCTTCTTGGTGTCCTCCCCATATTGTAGAAAGAGCACACCTGCAACAATAGACAGGAGTCCATTAGATAATGATGAATATTCTCAGCCAAGCTCACCATCCATGAAATCCTTCCTGTACCTCAGAGATATCAAGAACACCCATTTTCGTACATAATGAACCAGCCATACAAAGCAAACTAATTTCCTTACAGCTTATTTGTGTAGTGATGCTCCTTTATAGTTCAATGCGAAGGGTGGTGGATGTGGGAGGGTGACTCCGCCATATTCCTTACCTTTAGCACAGATGGTGGTGTCACCCCTCTGGTGCAGTCTGACAGGGGTGTATGACTCACAACAGTGGACGGACAGAAATAAAAAGCTCTGACAAGACTGTTCACATGTGTGAATTTCAACTCTGTATTTAGCTGTTTACCTGGAGTACAGCACCATGGCCGATAAACATTTTCCACACATTTATTTGTGGATCTGTTGTAGCTATCTCTCTTGGTATTTGGTATGATCTTGCAAACACTCTCTTCTCTGGTGTAAATTATCCAAAGCAACCATCAGAATGGTCAGCGAATGCTTCAGTATCTACTACAGATCAAATTTAGTGTAATGCTCTTTTCAGTACAAATGGTAAAAGGAATGCCTGGAGGGCATTAACCAGTTGCAGTCAATCAGTTTGCAGCTTACTCATGTCAGTTATTACATGATTTCTAGTTTGCCATAAGTTACTATTCTTCACATATCATTTGCTGCCTTATTATTTTTCTCTTCAGTGAAAGCAAAAAGGACTATTCCACACTAAATCTTTTAAAATTACTATTCCAAATGACCTGCTAAAAGGAATGGACATTTTTTTTTTTATGGTTTTTAAACAAGTCCACTTTTTTATATTTTATTTCCTTATACAGTTTTTCTATTTGTGGTGTTGTACTGGAAGCCCAACTCTAGCCAAAATTACTTTTTAAGTTTTGGATCGTCTCTCTTCTTTAGATTAACCATCCCAACTTTGCTACTAGACCTATAGTGTCATTGGATATAGAAAAGCCTTTGCGTTGGTTAACTAGGGGGTCCTAGGGCCTACATTTCTTAATTGTACTGCCATTCTTTTTAGGGAGCCTAGGGCTTAAAAATTAGCATGACCATGTCATTCCCCATTGACATCCACAGGGGCATCTGACAGGTCTACCCCTTATCCCCTCACCTGTTTGCATTAATGATGGAGCCATTGGCCATAGCTATAGAATCTGCCAACCTAGGTAGCCAGTTCTCCTGGCAGGTGTAACCCTTGTTGGCGGACCAGAGCACCTCAACCCCAGCAAGTTATCAGGTGGGGGGGGATATGAACTTTCCACTTCCTAAAAACCTTAGTAAGTCCTCATATGTCTCTGCTAAGGATGGTAATCTTTATACATTCAAATGTTCCAGTCTGTATGCATCCCCATTGATTCAGCTTGTTGATATGACTTGTGAATGACTTATGTGTGCAATTACAACAATGAATTAGTCTCTTCACTTGAGTCTTTAAAATTAAAAGACATTTATCTGGCAGACCTATTTCCAGAAACAACTGAACTGGAATACTCCTGTGAGAAATATTGCCTATTATTATTTATTTTGTTCGAGTTATATATTCTTTATAGAGGCAAATTAAAAGTGTAACTCCAAACAATCATATCCATTATACACATTTAAGGATTTGGGACTTGAAGCTTCTGCTCTGTAGATAATAAGACAGGTGACCACTACATTTCTCATGCTGAAGGGAAGCGTTAAAGAAGCCTGCTACAATCACATAAAGAGAGCAAAACTGATGATTTTCTGGTGCTAATTAATAAAAAATGTAAAAAGTGGTTTCTACATTGTTTCATAATGAATTACAATTAAAACCGCTGCCTTCCCTAAGCTGTCTGCCAGGCAGGGCTGGGACTAAATGGCACATGAAGCTTAGCTCTCAATTGTCTCTCTCTTGGAACCAAATCCATGTGTTCATTTTCCTTCATAATTGTTTTTGTCTTGTTCCTATTTTTGTTTTTTAATTCTATAAATAAGTTTACTCTGTATCTATACTTTGGTATGATTACTGACATTGTTATATGTGTTACATTTCATTAAATGTTACATCCAACCTCTACGTTTGCATTAGCTATTTTCAAGTTTTACTATAAAGGAAAGGTAGTGGTAAAAAAAGCAACAGTTGGTTTAACATTTCTGGTCTGTACAATTGGGAGTGTGGCCTTAGGGCCAGTTCACACCACAAACAGTGCATTCCAGAGCGGTCCAGCCCTGGAACGCACTGTATCCCACTCTGGCTGGCTCCCTGCATTCAGGGGCAGGAAGGGGCATGGTGGTGCATTGAAGTCACCGGCACCGCAGCCACACACCACCCGCCAACAGTGCGATCACCTGCACCCGAACGTATGGCACTAATGTGCCATGCGTTCAGGTGCGGGCGATCACACTGCCGGCGGGGAGCGTGGCTGCGGTGCCATTGACCTCAATGCATCGCCACACCCCCTCCCACCCCTGAATGTCCCTCAGCATCCTCATGTCTAATGCTGGTCTATGGATCCTGCATTAGAAGTCATGACGTCAGCAGCCCTTAGACCTCCACCGAAGTGCAGAAGAGGATGCAAAGACCGGTCTAGCAGCCCAGAGGAAGCCCACAGAAGCAGGGATTTGGTAGGTAAAAGTGCTTTACTCCAATCCCATAGCCAAAAATTAGCACTTAACCCTTGCGGTGTGTGGGGGTAGTGTAAGTACTAGCAGCCTACTGAACCATCTGTACAGCAGAGCCCAGAGAGGGGGAGGGAGAAGGAGCCAGTCAGGTGTGCTGCAGTAAGGCACATACTGTTAAGAGGAGAGACCAGAGAGATGAGCTAATCAGTCTGCTGCTTCTCCAATTATTGTCCAGTCACAGAGTGGGGAGAAGACATGCAAGTGAAAGTAAAACTGCAGCAAAGAATAATCAGATCCCCTCCTCTGTTAAGGTCCCCACACACCTTACGATAATCGTACGATAATCGCGGGAAATCCCGCGATCGTACGATTATCGTAAGGTGTTTGGAACCTGTGCGACCTCTACTACTGTAAGGTCGCACGACTTTAAACTTACGAACATGTTTCAAAACCTGCCGAGCATCGCACGATGTTCGGCAGGTGTGTAGCATGTTCGTAAGATAAAGGCCGGACGGGCCGGTGTGCGCAAGCGCACACTGCCCGTTCGGCATTGCGGTCATCGGAAGCCCGCCCCTCAGGGGGCGTGACTTGCGATCATCGCAAGTACGATCTGCGTACCTTACAACCATCGCAAGACAAAAGTCTTGCGATGGTTGTAAGGTGTGTGCCCAGCCTTAGACAGGGCTGTGCTTTGGAGCAGATCTGTGTAAATCCAAGGACTAGATCAACAAAAACTAAAATCCTTCATCAGGTAAAACAACTATAATATACCGTGAGGGGGATTTATCAAGATTGGAGCAGACAAAATCTGGAGCATCTGTGCATGCTGAACAGAGAAGCTGATTGGTTGTCACTGGCAACTGCTCCAGATTCTGTCTGCTCCAGTTTTTATAAATTCCCCCCTGCATGTTTGTATTTTATTTGTGTATTTAGCTGTTTGCCTGGAGTTTAGTTGCTAACTATCTACATTGTGCAAAAGGTGACCCCCTTTTCCCATGACAGAAAGCTGGGAGATATGAGGGAGCCAATTTATATGTATCTTATATGGACATGTGAGTAAGGTAGAGAAAATTGTGATTGGTTAATATAAGTTACTGTATTTTCTATATTGCGTCCCTCCTACCTTGCACTGCTTCACCTTTGCATTCCTATTAGTATAATCCCTTCTACAATCTTCGTCTACACCAAGTAGAACAATTGCATTAATTTATGCACAAAAGTAGCCATAATGTAATGGTTAAAGCCTTAATAAAGTAAATTATGCAGTGATTAAAGCAGCAACATTTACAATTCCTCTGTCGCTGTCCTCAGGGGGAAAAGTAGCTTCTGACTGCCAGGATAATTTGGTAGATAAATTCTGCTGCTTGTCGTGCTTGGTAGAAGATTTAAAACAAAAAAAAATTCTTAAAGGCCAATTTTGCCTAAAACGCATATTCTTATGCTTTATGTTGTCTGGCGTGCAGAACCATATGCGCCCTTCTTATTATTCTCTGGGCTTAACACCCAACTGCCATAGATAAGCCAAATGTTGGTGTCACACTTCTCTTTGTAAAGAAATACCTGGGGCATCCTGCTGTGGAAAAGCCTGTTGTCAGTGGTCAGAGACACTAGAACTGGAGCTGGAAAAACCATAAAAGCTGATTTCTGCTGAATCTTCAGAAATTTGAGCCATGGGTGGCCCTGTCAACACTATCTGGTTCCAAAAAAGACAATTTACAATAAGAATGAGCCATTAGAAAATTATCGCCAGAACAGTGACTGTGTCCTACCAGATACAGTCACTGTTCAGGTAATCGGGCAGCTGCGGGTTCTGCCTCTACCTAAATTCAAAAGCTGGCATTGGAGGTTCTTCCGTCCATGCTCTTTAGCGTGAATGGGGGAATCTGTTTATTTTCTCTGTGTGCATGGCTAGCTTTTCCTGTGTAAAGGTAGCTAGCTCTACTATTTGAGTGTCAAAGTGATAATGGAAATGAAAGAGGATCAAAGCTGAACAAACTTTGTGTGCTGTATGAAATCAGTGTGCGCTAAATGTGGAGATTTCTAACAACTGGTTAAATTGCTCAGTGGCATGGGACTAAAATCTCCCTTGTACTTTACTTGTCCTGTCTATTTCCTATATTTATAAAGGGCTAACGTATTACACAGAACTTTACAGGGTACAGCCGATCACACCAGTCCCTGTCCCCTGCAGGGGCCCACAATCTAAAGGTGCCCATACACAATAGAGGCCTTTCTCTGCACGTTCAGTCAATGATCCAATGTCTATAGGGCAGTGCATAAAAGCCTCAAACAAGAATTCTCAGGAAAAAGTGCTCAAAGTTAGAAAACCTTGCCCTATCACTATTGTTTTCCACAGCAGTTAAACTGTATGTTC